ATTCTTGCTTCTTGCTGCTTCTGCTGCTGCTGGCGACTGCTTTGCTTCTGTTTTGCTGCTGCTGCTGGCGCTGCCGCTTTTTTGCTGTTGGATCTTTGCCGCTGCGGCCGCTGCGTTTTATTTGCTGTTGGTGCTTTCCTGCTTTGGCCACTGCGGCTTTTGCTGTTTGCTGCTGCGGCCCTGCTGCTGCTGTTGGTGGCTGCGGCGGCGGCGGCGGCTGGTGCTTAGCTGGCTGCTGCTGCTGCTTTGCTGCTGCGGCCTTGCTGCTGCTGCTGCTGCTGCTGCTTTGCTGGTGGTGCTCAGTGGTGCTTTGCTGGTGCTGCTGCTGCTGCTGCTTTGCTGGTGGTGCTCTGCTGCTTCTGAATTGCTGCGGCTGTTGCTGCTGTTGGTGGTGTTTTTTGTTGCTGCTGCTGTTGCTGTTGGTGGTGTATTTTGGCTGCTGCTTGCTGCTTGCTGCTGCTGCCTGCTCGGCCTCAGAATCTTTCAAGCTCCAGTTTTCGTCTACCTCAGACTGAGGATGAGCCTGCATTGAGTAGGCGTGGTGGAGGAAGTGCAGGAAGTGGCAGATCGAAGAACATGTCCAACCGACAAATTCGACCTTTGGTAGGTTGTCCCGCCCTCATGGAGTTACGGACATGATCTCCGCTTGGAGTGTGTCAAAACATGGTCAACAAAAAACGACCTGTTAGTTTGGAGTCTGTTTTATCCCGGCAAGAGACCCCAAACAGTGTGTGTGAGGTCTATAAGCAGAAAGTCCACAGATCTAGACGCATTGGGTCCAGAGGTGATGGTGGTGATAAAGGTGGGAGTGTGAGCGTGTGTGGGTGAGAGTGAAGGTGAGAGTGAGAATGACAGAGTGAGCATCTGAGACTGCGCCGAAATCTCCACTTCGAGGTTCACAAAGTACTGCGCTTGCCGCGAAATCTGCGCTTCGAGGTTCACCAAGTGCTGTACCCGCCACGAAATCTGCACTTCGAGGTGCACAAAGTATTGCGCCTGCCATGAAATCTGCGCTTCGAGGTTCACCAAGTGCTGTACCTGCCACGAAATCTGCGCTTCGAGGTTCACCAAGTGCTGCGCCTGCCACGAAATCTGCACTTCGAGGTTCAAAAAGTGCTGTGCCTGCCACGAAATCTGCGCTTCGAGGTTCACCAGTGCTGTGCCTGGCACGAAATCTGCGCTTCGAGACTATGCCGCCCACGAAATCTGCGCTTCGAGGTTCACTGTGCGTGCCACGAAATCTGCACGAAATCTGCACTTCGAGGTTCACAAAGTGCTGCGCCTGCTACGAAATCTGCATTTCGAGGTTCACCAAGTGCTGCGCCTTCCACGAAATCTGCACTTCGAAGTTCACCAAGTGCTGCAGCTGCCACGGAACCTGCACTCCCAGGTTCACCAAGTGCTGCGCCTGCCACGAAATCTGCGCATCGAGGGTCAAAGAGTGCTGTGCCTGCCACGAAATTTGCAAACGAGGCACATGCCCAAAAGTCATGATTCACTGCACCTGTCAGGAAATCTTGAGCTCCTCGACGATCACCACCATGTCCCAAGTGCTGCTGCACCTGGCACGAAGACTGCAGAGTGAAGTAAAACAGCTCCGATCCCTTGCACTTGTCACGAAAAGTCGACTTTGGAGCACCAAAGCACAAGGTTTCCCTTGCGCTTGCCACGAAAAATGACCACCATGTGCGAAAATGCGCACGGGACCACAACGAGAGCGCAGTCGTTAGAAGCACCGGCCGCGCCCACGCAGATTTCGCGAGCTTGCGCAGTGGAAATGCACTTCGACGACTTCGAGAAGCATGAATGTACTGTAAATAGCAGCGAAGTAGCCAGTCAGGGCCGCGCGCTTCAGCGATCTAAGCATCAGCCGCCTTGCACTTACCGTAAGAACCCCTAGTGTGTCCACACTGTTTGGGGAATTACAAGCCCTTTAGTGGTTGACGGGTGTCCATTAACTGCGGATGCCTGGTAGACTGATCTCCATCACGGATGTCCGACTCAAGGCTTCGTGGCGGGCTCCGTGAACATTGGTCGTGCACGAAATCATCAAGATAATATCACTTAGAAAACGGGTTGACCGTGGTTTTGTAGTCCAAAACCTTAGTGAAACAACGGTTGTTCGGGATTCGATCCATCAAATCAAACGGTGGTTGTGTTCCTAAGAATTCTTGCCTGAAATCGGGTCCATGGAATGTCCTTCCTCGCGGCCTCGTTTGGCTCACAGAGAGATGTTCGCACAGTTCGCTCAGGAGCAGATGATCAGCTGGAAGTGCTGCATTTGTCTCCCTGCCTCTAAAGAGGGTTTTCCTCTGAAACATTCAGAAGCGACCCAATAGACCGCAGGGCGGTTCACGCCATTCACAGTGATCCGCACGTTTGCCCGCCGGTGGAGTTTCGTTCATGGTGGTTTGGGCCGTTTTCTTCCGCAGCCCCTGGAACCCAGGTGGGGGGTCTCTCTTTTGGGGCCGCGGCAGGGGGAACTGATTGGATGGAAGCGCTTGGGGTGCTTCATGTAGATTTAGATCAGTCCTGGTGGAGTTTGATGAATCCTCGGAGTTGGACTTAACAGTGATCAAAAACAGTCCCATGAATGGGTCACCCAAATCCTTGCTTAAAACGTGTCTATGGAGGGCTACCTCTTTTTCGATCCATTTGGGTTTTGTCCTACAACCTTTTGCCTCTAAAAGGGAAGAACAGTCTTCGATGGTCTATGTACTTTGGACATTGGTGTCAGATGGGCGTCAGAAGGCTTCATAGACTTGGCAGGTCCAGGTTTCGATGTTTTGTGCTGGTCAACACTCTCAGCTTCTGCCATTGGTTTTGCCATTCGGTTTTCCAAGGGCAGAATTGAGACGTCTCTCCCAGAGCAGACCCTGCCAGCTCCAAACAGTTTGGGATCTCTCCAGGTTTGCATCTCCAACGGACAGCGGGATGCAGGACCCCAGCCGAGTCGGGTCCGGAGCAGGGTCAGTCGAACGGAAAGCTGAAATGTCCCAGAGCTGATCTTTCTACGGACATCAAAAGATCCAGAAGGGGCACACTTGTTTTGCACCTTTTTGCAATTATTTACCCTGGTCTGGTGGGGGACTGGCCCCCAACCAATTCTGGCGGCAATCAACCTTGACTCCGCCAATGTCGCTTTGGTCAACATTTGGTGTCTACAGTAGGACCTAGGATCTGTGTAGCGCCTGACCTTTAAGTTGTCCTGGACACAGGTAGAATTCAGCACAATCCTTTGGATTCCTTCTTCCGGGCTTCCCAGGGTTGAGGGGTATATCCGTTGTGTTGACTTTGGAAAGAAAAAGCAACCCTTTGGCTGAATTTTGTGGTGATGGCTTGGCTGAATTCTGTGGCTGGTTCCCTCTTGGTCGGTCGATGGGTCCGAAACCCACGGCCCCAGGGCGGCAAGAAAGGCTGAGGGCCGAAGGCGGCACCGAGAATCGAAGGAACGAGTCGTCTGGGGAACGAATGGGCAGAGATTTTCTTTAAATACCAAAGCGAGACATGTTCTTGGACAAGAACTCCTCTAACTCTGTCCAGGTTGCAAGTGGCAAGAGACACTCGAACCAGAGCGGTGTGTTGTTTGTGGTCGATCTAGACATCTAGACATCGTGTTCATGTCCGTTCGCATGCCTTTTCCATGTGCGGCCATCATGACTTACTTCTGCAACACCTTGCGTCGTGTTTTGCATCTCCCTGTCACCCTGTGGGCCCCAACGGCACCAGCTCCAGCTGCCGGTCCGGTGCACCGGGTCGTGAAGCATCGGTGTTCATCGGTTGGTTCCAGGTCATTCTGGTGTGGAGCACCCTTCGAATCGGAGTGCTTTATAACGTCTGTTTAATACAGACGTTTGTTCGAATCGGTGGGCGAGTTGGACGAGATGAGTTAAACTCGTGTGCGTTTTGTTGCTCTGCTTCATGGGATCTCGATTTGACCCGGTTATTCTTCTCCCCCGGATTCGGCAACGTTTGCAAATCAGCAAGACCACCCGGTCATATCTGCGTGACAGGCAGGGGGTCTGCAAAAGGTATCTCTGTTGGAGTTGGTCTCCACCACCTGAGCGGCTGATCCAATCTTTTGCGTAACAAAGCTCATCACTCGGATTGTGTGGGCACATTGCCATGCTGCTGGCGGCACTATGACCGGAAGCTTCGTCATGCCTCTTTGCTACCTTTTAAGAGACGACTTGCTTGCTCTTTGCTAGCTTCTGACTTCTCAACCTTCATTTGCTTTGGACTTCAACGAGTTGCGGATCGTCTCCACGAGTTCGCAGGAGTCTTCCACGAGTTGGACTCACGCTGAGCACGGCGCCGCGAGGAGCCACTGGGTTTGGGCTGGGAACATCGGTGCTGGGAATGGGGTCATTGGTATTGTTCCAAGTCATGGGGCATGTGGGGCCTTCGGTTGAGAATCAGCAAGAGCATGCTAACCCCACACTTGGGAGTAGCAGTGTGCTCTGCAGCCTTTAAGATTCATGATGCTCATGCTGGGAAAGATCTGACAATTGTTTGGCTGTGGGTGAAGAGAGGAGTGCCGAAGAAAGAGACATGTTACTTTTGTGATTCTTCGCGAGGTATTTCTTTGCAAGGTATCTTCCATATTGCCACAAGAGAAGCAAGGGTGCTTCTGATTCAGACAAGGATTGGAATCCTGCTCGGTCAGTAAGCTATGATGCCTCCTGAACATCTTTCTATCCTATCCTTACCTCGCCTGCCCCCAAGAAAAACAGACATATAGCTAGAAACAGAAGCTTGTCATGTAAAATTTTGAGTGTGCCTAGCCTAGCAGCATGGTACACGCCTGGCGTCAGTTTCTTTTTTGAATTGTTTCCCTGCCATGTTGCCGACTCAAAGGTGAGATGCTGTGAGATGCTGAACATCGCCGCGGACCGTTGCTGATGTGGTGAACCCAGAATTGTGCCTGAATGGCTCAGCAATGGTGAACCCAGCCTCCAAACTGCAGCAGTCCAAGCGCGCAAACTGGGTAGTTGTGCAGGATGAGAGTTGCCAACACGCTTGAACGAACAATGCAACTAGTCGTGTTGAGTTTGGCCAGTGGCATCCTTGGACATGGCATGTACCCTTTGACGCAGTTTGATTCCTCAAAAACAGTGTCGCAGTTGCTTATCAACACAGTTTGTTCCATGGTCCTCTTCATCAGTCTTCAAGTTGCAGGCTTTGTGGTACTGCCTGCTGCCATGCGACAGACGGGTCACTTCGTATCAGCTCCCCAAGCGCCGTGGACGGTGGGGGAGAGGCTCTCATCCAAGGAGGTGAACAAGGAACTGGAGAACTATTTGAATCCCTGGTTGGAAGCCGGTCGAACTGTCCAAGAATTTCAGAAGTGGCAGAATGCAAGTTGGAGACCCAAGCTTTGGAGTGCTGTCTTTGGTCGGAACTCACAAGATCAAAGACAAGCTGAAAGACATCGCCGAGGCGCCGTGGTCGAGGATGGACTGCTCCTCAGTGGCACTGGTGATGGTGACGTCTACGCCGAGGTAAGCGCTCAACAGGGGCTCGACCATGAGTTTGCCACTAGACATCTTGCGAAAGCCAGAAATGAGCGCATCACTTATGCAGCAAATGCATACCAATTCTTGCGAGAGGCTGAGCAGGCTGCCCAGCTGCCTACGAAGCCGACCAGCTGGGCCAGCTGCCAGCAGCAGCTGGGTTCCTTGCTTGCTGCACTCATGGACGCTTGCAACGATCGGGGGCCCGACCCGAACTGCCGCCACAGTGTCGAGAGCCTCTTCTTGAGAGGGAAAGAGATGGCTTTGACGATACCCGCAAGGGCAGCCATTGCACCTTGCACAGCACACCGCAGCCTCCGAGATCAAGATCTCAGAACCACGTCTTGAGAAGATGCCACGGCCTTCGATCTCCTCAGAGCGCATTATCCTCTCAGACCTCCTCTTCCCAGAGCCACGGCGCTCTCGGCGCATGGGCACTTTCTTCGTGGGGGTAAAATTGCGGTGGCTCGTCGAGTTGGCAACCACCACTCTGCCATCCTTTGGGCTGGCTTTTGGGAGGGCGCCAACCGCACTTCCAAGGAAGACCTTTTCCGCTTCGCGAGCATGACTGAGCACGGCACAGTGCACCCAAGCACTCAGTTGGGAAGAATCATTGAGAAGCACCATGATCTGAGGCTGTGTGAGAGTGAGAAGGAAAAGAAGGAAGTGAAGTTCATACTGAACAATATGTGGACTATTGCAAGCTTTTCGTTCGTCCTTGGTATGCGCGAGAAATGTCAGGAGACGGTGGTGGCCCTAGTGAATAAGGACATGGATGGGCAGCGCCCCTTGCAAGACTCCATACTTTTTCAGTATGAGATGCCTGCGCTCGGAGCAGCGGTATGGGGCTCCGGGTCTTGGTCTCCAAAGGTCTTGATTATCGACTTGATGGGTACATGCAAGCAGACTAGCCCAGCGCTTCTGGAACAAGTGCTGTTGTTCGTGAAAGCTTGGGACATGGAGCCAAGCAAGAAGTTGGAGTTTGTCCGCCAGTCCAGCCTCTCATGGAAGTGCATAGACTGCCCAGCTCCCAGATGTAACTTGGATCAACGCTTGGCGGACTATGTGAGCAAGCAGAAGGCTGGCTTAACCTCCACCAGTTGGTGGCGCAAACATCAGCGTCGCCCTCAACACCATGGGTGTTAAACCGCAAATTAGGCGAGGCTATGGTGAGGGTCCCCTTGTGGGATGCCTCGTGACATGCCTTGGGACTTGTCGGTCAAAATGTGCGCGACATCCCCGGATAGATTAGACCTTGCAGTTTGGAGACTTCAGACCTTGCATCTTGCTGTTGCAACTTGCAGTGTTTAGCCTTTCCCTCGTTCCAGTGATTGGATTGGCCGATCTGTTCCTGAGGTTCGGAAGACGACGCCTGGCTGCCCTCGTCGCCGACGGGTTCCTTTTGAGGCGTCGAGTGTCGCCTTTCTCACCGCAGTTGGACTCTGGAGACGGACGTGGGATGTGGGGAACCCCCAAAGCGACGGTTGTTGACCCCGCCCTTTGCTCTCGAGAGCTGGTTTCAGGCACAAATGATGACAACTTGTCAGGTCGAACGAAGTATGGATGCTGTATGATGCTGTATGGACACAAACTCCACCTAGTATGGGTTTTCTGGGGCTTAAACCCAGTACCTGCCAAATATGAACCGGATGGGCCAGGGAGGCTAGCTTGAGAGGGTTCCATGTTGAGTGTGTTCATTTCGGATCGAACGCATGACGCATGCAAGCGGCAAGTCGAGACAGTCTTGATCCTATGTTTGTGTCATATCTCTCACATCTCACCTTGGTCATTACGCAAGTTTTCCTAAGCAACTCAGAATCGATTCAATCATGTGTCAGGATGTTGCCCTGACAAGATGTTGCCCTGACGCCTGGAAGGTCCGGTCCCAACGGTCGGTGCCGTGGCTGGACGGTCCGGGTGTCTCCCACGAGGAAAGCAACGCTTTTATATATGAATCCTACACCATGGGCCCCGGTCTGCAGGACTCGGAGGTCTTTTTGAGGTGGAAATACGGAAGTGCTTCCCCCCCGCTCTTGCTTCAGTGGGATTGTTTGGGCACATGGCCATACAAAGGTACGATGACCGGAAGCTTTGTCATGCCTTTTCTACCTTGGAAAAGAGCTTCTCAATCTTCTTCTCTTTTAGACTTCTCTGGATCGGGTGAACTCAGCGCAGGAGTCTTCCAAGATGCAAGTGTGCGCGGCGAACGTGCAGTCGAGGCTAGAGGCGCTGAACGGAGAAGAACCGACTTCTCGATGAGTTTTTGTTGGTATGTGTTGATCAATGGAATCAGCACAGATTGAGCACCCCAGAAAGCTGAATTGTGTTGAGTTCTTGAGATTGCTTCTTCATGGACGGGTGAATTTCTTATGCCTCGGTGTACTCAGAATAGGAGAAGACACATGGTGATCATGCATTTCAGCTGTCGGGCTTTCAGGGGATTGGTCTTCCCATCTTTGCACATCATGGGCAACAACATCCAGACTTTGGTCAAGAAGTTGGATGGGGCTGAAGAAGTTGCCAGGGCCTGCGAAAAACTGGCCAACAAGACCAGCAATAGCAAGCAGGTCAGGATGGCAGCCGTTGAAGCAGGTGCACTGGTCGAACTCGTTCATGTGATGAAGCAGCATCAGACAAACTGCTTGGTGCAAAGCCGTGCAAGCTTCGCTGTGGCGAGCTTGTGCATTGAGTCCGAGGAGTGCAAAGCTTCGGCCTTCTCTTCGGGAGCAATGGACCTGCTGGTTCAAGCACTGCGCGACCATGCTGGAAGTGCTGAGGTGCAAAGGTACGCCAGCTTGGCAGTGCGTCGATTGTGCAAGGGCTCAGAGGAGCGCAAGGCAAGGGCCTTTTCTTTGGGAGCACTGGATCTGCTGGTGCAAGCAATGCGAGATTTTGCAGGGGATACCGAGGTGCAAGAATACGTGTGCTTGGCAGTGTGTAGTTTGTGCAGTGACTCTGAGGAGCGTTCATCAAAGGCTTCCCTTCTGGGAGCCTTAGACCACCTGGTGCGAGCAATGCGAGACCATCCAAGAGATGCTCAGGTGCAAAAATTTGCTAGCTTATCTGTAGGCATGTTGTGCATTTGTTCTGAAGACTGCAAGGCCAAGGGCTTCTCTTTGGGAGTGCTTGACCTGCTGGTGCTGGTTATGCGACTCCATGCTGGAGATGCCAGAGTGCAAAGCTCTGCAAGCTTAGCTGTGGGAAACTTGTGTAGCTACTCTGAGGAGCGTAAGGCAAGGGCCTTTTCTCTGGGAGCCCTGGACGCACTGGTGCAAGCAATGCGAGAGCATCCAAGAGAGGTTGAGGTGCAACACTCTGCGAGTCGGGCTTTGGGAAACTTATGCCGTATGCCTGAACTGTGAGGAGCGCACAGCGTACGCTTTCTCGTTGGGAGCTATTGACCTGCAGGTGAGAGCAATGCAAACTTATGCACGCGATGCTGAAGTGCAAGAAAGTGCAAGCAAGGCTTTGGGAAGCTTGTGCAAGGGCTGCAAGGCGCGGAGGGACGAAGCTTTGAGCCTTGGAGGTCTCACTTTGGTGATTCAAGCCCTGAAGGGCCACTCTGAACAGGCCATTTTGCAAGCGCATGGCTGTTTTGCGTTGAGCATGATGTGCTGGCAGTGTCACAACAGCAAAGCAGAGGCTTTTTCTTTGGGAGGCATTGAGCTTCTTATCAAGGCCATGCAAGACCACCATGGCAATTCTTCTGTGCAATTCTATGCAAGCAGTGCCTTAGCAAGCATGTGCCATGGTGCGGAGGAGTGTAGAAGGAGAGCCCTTGCCTTGGGAGCCCTTGAACTTCTCCTGCAAATCCTGCAACATGTCACAGATCCAGGAGTTTTGACCAGATGCAGCGAGGCTGTTGGATCCATTTGCTTCGGTTTCAGTACAGCTGCTTTGGAGCGCCAAGCACATGCCATCGGCCTTGGCGCCTTTGATCTCATCGTCAAGGCTTTGCCCCGTGCTCCCTGCAGTTCAGACTACATTTGCTTCTGGGCCTTAGGATGTCTTTGTTCCGGAAGTGATGAGGCTGCCGTGGCCTGCCGCCGCCGTGCTGTGGACTTGGGTGTCTTGGAGCAAGTGCAGCTGATGCTGGAGCATGAAATAGATTTGCAGGAAGAAGGCAGAGCTGTGCTCGATCTCTTCTTGACGACGCCCACAGGCGAACAGGCAGCAAAGACAGCTTCACACCAGCTGGTCACCGCCAGCTGTGAAGGACCAGTTTGTGTAGAGGAGGCAAGTGCTTCAAGCAGCGGACATCAACTGGGAGACCAATGAATTCAATGATCCAATGAGCGGAGAGTAGCGGGACCCAAAGACCCTTCCAGGAGGCACAAGGAGTAGCCAGAGTCAGAGCTTGAAAAAGCTTCACCAGCGTCGCCTCCTTCATTCAGATTGAGGCGCCGCAGGTGTTGATGGATGGTCCTTGAAGGGTGCTCCAGTTTCGCACTGTCCTCGTGCAGACACAGACAGATGGCAAGGAGAACAGGCCCAAACTTGGATGCATCACGATCATGCAGTCAACAAAGTGCCCACACATTGACATCCTCAACATTGACAATGCATTTTCCAGAACACTGGGGCATGTGAAACTGGGGCCCATCCAATGCCCCTTAATGGGCTTGGTTTGTTTCGCCTTCCAAGATCGGTCAACCCTTTGTGTGGAGCTTTGGGCAGACGTCGGGATGAGGTCGCCGCTGGCGGTCTGGCGGTCGTCCGTGTGGAAGTCACGCGCGGCACTTTCCGATTTGCTCTGAAGTCTTTTTCCCCTTTGTTTCAATTCTCATGTACAGTCTTCGAATTCTATAGACCCGCGTAAAGCGCGAAGAGCAGCAGATCCCTGTCTAGCAGAGAATCTGTTTGTGGGACAAGAACGGTGCGATGTGCTTGAACCCATTCACTTTTGCAAGAATCAATGCCCTGTTGTGGTGGCTGATGCAACGCATGTTCGGCACATTGCTTTTGCGCCAGCCGCGCCTGACAGGGAGCACCCGACTATGCCAAGCAGGTGAAGCCGAAGCTCCAAAAGCGAAGAAACCGCTGGGCGACTCAGCTTGGTGCTGATCGGGTGCACCCAGTTGAGCTCAAACCTTGATCGTTTGCTGTAACCCTTCCACTGAGCCGTTTGCTGAACCCCAAGTGCACAAAGTCTGTGAAAAGTTCTTTTGCCTGCAAAAGAGAAGGAAACGCAGCTTCAGAATGGAACTAGCTTTCCAACAATCTCACAAAAGACCCGTTTGAGGCCACGTCCTTGGTAATGCTGCCTGTGAGATATTTCTCAGTCAGATGCTTTTCCTGCAAACTGGTGACGGATTGGTGGTGACATTTGTTCTGGTATTCCTGAACGCCGCTCTCGCCCAAAGATTTTTCAAAACTTCCCAGAACAGAACACTCTAGATGCAGCAGTCCACCTTTGGTTCATTCCTCGGTCAGCAGCGACCTCTCCAAGAAACAACCTTTGAAGTCCCCAAACCTGTTGCCTGTGATGGGATTTTAAGCTGCCGCTGCAGGTGGATTCTGCAGAAGTGTGCGCCAAAAGCAACGCCACCGCGGAGAAAAGAGAGATCCTTCCAGAGGAAGATCGGCCGCGCCGGGTGTGTCGAGGTGCGCGCAGAGAGAGAGAGAGAGAGAGAGACGCGCAGAGAAACCTTCCGTTCGTCACGAGGCTTCGCTCGTGCGAAGACGACGTCAGACAGCGTCGTTCGCCGGCTCGGCCGGGAAGGCCGAGTGCGCGGAGGAAGCTCCCGATGGCACATCACATTTGACATGAGCCATTGGCACAGTCCAGGTGTTCACCTCAACCGCCTGTTCACTTGCTTGCCCAACAGGCGAAAGTCTCGGGGGTCATTTGCCTGGTGACCGCTTGCAGAGTTGGCCCGAGACGATGCAAAGAACCACCGTCCCACCGGTGCTTGTGAGCTGTCACTGCTTTTGGTCACTGGTCGAAGCCACCACACCTTGATGTCAGAGTTAAACCAAGCATCAAAGTTTGTTGGAGACCGATTGTAAGCTGGGCAAAGGTCGAAGTCGAATCGGCATGGCCGCCATGCTTCAGGTTCCCCGCTTTAGGCATGAACGAGGGGAACCTGCGCGTACAGCCCTGCTGTGTTGCCACCCGGCGACCTGAGAAACGCCATGGGAAATGCCATGGGAAACCTTCTCTCCGAGTGCAAGAGGTGCGCCCGCCTGCTCGTGGAAGACAACTTGTTGGTTTGTAGTATCGGTTCGGAGGCTTACGACATGGAAAGGCTTCTCACACTAGGGAAAACACTGCCTTCTATTTTTTCTATGTTCCATTTTGTAGCACTTCATTCTACGCAAAAACATTTTCATTTGCTCCATGACATCGTCGGAGAAGACATCGTGCTTCCTTTTCTGTGTTCAGTCCACTTGATCAAGTCGAACCCAATAATCGGGATACTTTTTCGGTTGGTCGTGCGGTCTGCAACTGTTGAGCCTGAACACCAGAGACTTATTAGAGGTTATATCTCCTTGTATATAAGTGTGAATCGGACCTTTTGGGTTCCTCCTGCCATCGGACACCACCTGCGCCCCACAGGATGGGGAGCACACGAAGATCCCCACCCTTTTCTTCGCCCCTACGGGGTTGGCACTCCTCCTGGTCCGGTGGCGTCGCTCTCTCGACCGGACCTCAGGTGCTCAGCGCTGGTGGACCACTGCGACCTGTGTCCCGCCACGGTGTCCGGGGGCCCCAGAGTCCACCGGAGTCCAGGGGCGAGGCGAAGAGGACGAAGGGTGGTGGGTGGGGCAAGACTGGGTTTCCAATCGAATGGTGGGACAGTGACCATGTTCTGACGAGTTTTGGGTGGAGCTTTCAGCATGTTCTCAACGGGTCCCCAACTCTATGACTTGGAGGCTTGGAGGCTGGAGAAGCTAAAGGCGATAGCTTCTTACTGGTCTCTTCAGTTTTCGTCCCATTGTACGGATGTGAGGCAGTAGTATTGGGATCGCAAAGGGACATGGATTCTGATTCTTCAATGCCTGCCTTTTTTCTATTCGTCCCAGGTCCCTGGTTGCCTCGTCTAAATTTGAGACGTCTGTGTCCCGATGTGAGGCGTCAGCAGACGGACGATGAGCCTGCACTGGGTAGGCGTAGTTTTTTTGGAAGCGGAGGTGGCGGCGCCGGTGGCGGCAGATCTGGGGGCACCCCAGTTGGAGGTGATGTATAGGACTGGCATGTTTTTTTGTTTGGAGTGTGTCAAAACCTGGGGCCCTCTGTTTGGGGTGTCCCTTCACGGGCCCTGGTGACCTGGTGGTGATTCGGGTTTGCATTATCGTAAACATATGTAAACTAAGATCCCACAAAGGACACCCCCACCGGGGTGTCCATGAACCACCCCGACTGTGGGTGCCTGGTTGGATTTCCATCACGGAACCAACGCGAGGTTTCGTGGTCTCTGCTCTGTGACCGCCGCATTGGTCGTCCCGGAAGTCATCAAGATAGTCATCAAGATAGTATCCCTGGCCTTCCAAGACCACTTCGATAAAGGGTTGACCTGGTTTTGTAGTCCAAAATTCTCAGTAAAACAATGGTTAATGGATGTCAATGGTTGTTTCGGGATTCCAACCATTGAATCAAATGGTGCTTGGATTTGCTCAATAAGTTCTTGCCCCAACCCATGGTTGCAGGTTTTCTTTTTCTTCGCCTGGCACGGAGTCCGGCCCGAAGGGGTCGTACGTCCGACTTTCATGTGTTTTGAGGAAGCCAAGGAGTCTGAAAGGTGGAGAGACTCTTGATTTCTTGATAAATAGTCCTACAAACTGCTGGGAACCTCACCAGAAATAAGAGGGTGACTGTTGCCTGTCCTTGCGCAGATGATCTCTCTCGCGGCCCCTACTTTGGCTCACAGAGAGACTTTCGAACAGTTCCTGCGGGATCAGGCCCCAAGTTCAGAAGCAGATGAAGCTGTTGCATTTGTCTCCCCGCCTCCAAAAAGGGGCTTTCCTCTGAAACCCTCAGAGCAGGCACAGAAGCGACCTAATAGAATGCAGGGCGGTTTCACAGCATTCACAGCGTTCCACACGTTTGGCCGCCGGTGGAGTTTCGTTTGTGGTGTTTGGGCCGTTTTCTTCCGCAGCCCCTGGAACCCAGGTGGGGGGTCTCTCTCGGGGCCGCGGCAGGGGGAACGCATTGGAAGGAAGCAATTGCACTCGGGGTCAGTCCTGGAGGATTTTGATGAATCCTGGGAAGTTAGACTACTCAACAGTGATGATAAACAGTCCCATGATTTGGAACGATTTGGGATGTGTCGAGAAACAGGTGGACCCAAATCCTCGATGGTCTATGTACTTGGACATTGGTGTCAGATGGGTGTCAGAAGGCTTCATAGACTTTGCAGGTCCAGGTTTCGATAATGCAAAAGCGCTGTTTGAGGCTTCAGGAAGAAAATTTGTGGAATCGTTGCCATCGTCTCTCATGAGTTGGTCAGATTGTAGAAAAAAACATGAGTCATGACTCATGACCAGACAATGTACTCTTCCAAACTGAACCGTAGCAACCACCTACTTGCCAACTCATCCACTCAATTTCACTCATCTCTCCCAAATCACTTGCTAACTTACGGTTTCTCTATGTCAGAATCGACACGCCCCCCCAGACCAGACCCTGCCATCTCCAAACAGTGTGGGATCTCTCCAGGTTTGCATCTCCAACGGACAGCGGGATGCAGGACCACGGCCAAGTCGGGTCCGGAGCAGGGTCAGTCGAACGGAAAGCTGACAGGTCCCAGAGTTGATCTTTCCACGGACATCAAAAGCTCCAGAAGGGGCACACTTGTTTTGCACCCTTTTGCCATTGGTTACCCTGCTCTGGTGGGAGGACTAGCCCCAAACCAATTCTGGCGGCAATCAACCTGCAAAGGTTTTCTAACAGGTTTGACTCGGCCCATGTCGCTTTGGTCAACATTTGGTGTCTAGGACCTAGGATCTGCGAAGAGCCTGACCTTTGAGCTGTCCTGGACACAGGTAGAATTCAGCACAATCCTTTGGATTCCTTCTTCCGGGCTTCCCAGGGTTGAGGGGTATGTTGTGTTGACTTTGGAAAGAAAGAGGAACCCTTTGGCTGAATTCTGTAGCCGATTCCCTCTTGGTCGGGGTGGGTTCGAAACCCACGGCCCCAGGGCGGCAAGAAAGGCCGAGGGCCGAAGGCGGCACCGAGCATCGAACGGTTGAGTCGTCTGGGGGGACGAACGGGCAGAGATTTGCTTTAAATACCAAAGCGAGACATGTTCTTGGACAAGAACTCTTCTAACTCTAAC